ACATTGCCACACGTTCCCTGCTTTCCCTAAGCTTATGACACTACAATTCAAAACACCCCTCTCAATTTTGAAAACTTCCTCCAGGGAGTTCAGAAATAAATATCTTTATTAACTATTGTGTCCTCATAGGGATTTTCTAGTGCTAATGTAGGCATAAATTGCTGTCTTACAATTTGGCTTTCTGAATGTCAGAAGCACTCCGAGATCACTATGACAACAAAAAGCCCTGTGCTGAGAATCACTAAGGAATAATGTGATGCAACTTTAAGAAAGAAATATCTATAGGGACTAATCAATCATCATGGAAATGTTTCTATTATAATTTAAGCAAAAATTGCTGTTTCTCAGTGTAGCTCACAGCCTGATTATAGTAATCTCAAGAGTACAGATTCATTTTCTCTAAAAGGTAATGAAACCCTTCTCCCCCTTTTGAAAGAGAGATTCCTCTGGAGCTTCAGAGACGGGTTCACAGTGGCCACGTGAATCTGGATCTGGAGGATCATCAGGGTCAAGAATACATAAAACCCAGACTGAGATTCAAGGCTTTTAGTGGAGAAGGACAAAAACTTGGAAGGTAAAACCCTAAAATGAGATAAATACATGTCTTCGTTCAATATGCATTTTCTTTTAGAATAAAATAGTGAAGTAACCTAGAAAGTAAAACCTCAAATATAAACTATGAAGACTTGCCCATGGAATTAGATATGCAAATCTGGTGCTAATATTAGTAGCTAATACTTAGGTAGCAGTTACCACATTCCTGGTCCTCTAAGCACTTTACATATATTAACTCACTCAGTCTTCACAACAACTCTTCCATTAGGGTCCTGTTATGCCCCTATTTGCAGATGCAGTCTTTTGCCCAAATTGATTGAGCTGAGAACTGGTTAACATGTGGGATTCAAACCAGGCACTCTAGCTCTAGAGTCTGTGGTCTTACCACTATACCATCCTCCTCTTTCTGATTACATGTGTTCGAAAAGGAAATTATAAGGGTTATTTATTAGGAAAAACAATAGATACCTTAGATCATAGCTTTAAGCTATGTCATAAGTAATTGTTAAGCTTTTGCTCGAGCAATGTATGTAAGTTGGTTGTTTTCAGTGTATTTTTAAGCAGCCAAATTCTTTCTTCAAGTTATGGAAGCCCAATATAAAACCTGAGCTCTGTCTGGTTGCAGAGGGAAGGCATTGTCTCTGAGAGATTTCCAAAGAACCCCTAGGACTTTGCCAACCACAACTTAGAAACCAGTGTGCATGGGATA